TGATGATTACTACATGAAATATCAAAAGCTGAAAATTAATTAATTATGCAAATTAGGTAATTAATATGTACTGATATTACCCTAAAAACTATCAGGTCTGTGCAGTGTCCTATGACATCTATATACCAAGTGTCATTGAAATGTGATGATTACTACTTGAAATATCAAAAGCTGAAAATTAATTAATTATGCAAATTAGGTAATTAATATGTACTCATATTACCCTACAAACTATCAGGTCTGTGCAGTATACTATGACATCTATGTACCAAGTTTCATTGAAATGTGATGATTACTACTTGAGATATCAGTGGAAAAGCCGAAAATTGATTAATCATTATGCAAATTAATAATATTGCACAGATTTTTACCCAAAACTAATCAAATCTGCGCATTAATTTGGAGCATCTATGTGCCAAGTTTCATCAAAATCCAATGAGTGGTTCTTTAGATATCATTGGAACAGTCATGAAACAGCTAAAAATCAGCTAATTATCATGCAAATTAGGTAATTAATATGCATGGATTTTTACCAAAACCTAATCAAATCTGCGCATTGGCCCAGAGCATCTATGCACCAAGTTTCATCAAAAATCAATGTATGGTTCTTGAGATATCAGTGGAACAGACACACACACACGCACACGCACACAAACACAGACAGACAGACAGACAGACAGACAGACAGACAGACAGACAGACAGACAGACAGACACACTAACTGCAAAGACTCCCTTTTTGTGCTTCGCACACGGGAGTCAAAAATCAGGTTCATTGTTTAAAATAGCAACACATGTGACATAAAATACATTCATCATACATGTGTATTTGGCAAATTATTCTGCTGTCAGCCAAATCTACTTTCAACAAAGACAACCACCACATGCCAAGTAAATATCAGACATCAATGGTAAGAATTGTTACAAAAACACAAATGCATTGACCATTCCTTATATATTAGATACACAATACTGTCATCAGTTGTTCAACTACGACAACGATCTACAAATTAGCATTTGGCTGGATTTCAATTTTTTTTACAGTTAATTTTCTCACCCCAGTAAACACCACAATCTGTAATGATAACTGAATAAACACCAGTGGAAGTCATACTCTAAAAGAACCAGCACATCACATTGCCAGGCTCCTTTCTGACTGACTCAGAATTAAAAACCAATTCAAAATGCCACAGTTGCAATTATACATGTAAAGACACTAGTTCTCTGTGTGTGCATGATTTTTACACATTTTTTCTTCCTGGGTAGTAACTTTAACCTTTTCACCACCAGTTCCCTCTTTTTATCACAAATTCAACAAAATACCAGTAGTCTTGTTTATAGTCTGCAATTTACTTCAGAAGAATAGGGAAAAAAATGGCCAAATTTATTGAGTAAAAACTGAAAATTGACTCAAATCTTTTCTCATGTTTCCAAAATTGAGGTACATTTCCAGAAATATTCAAGAATATAAAAATAATAGGGCGAGAAAGTCTGGTTGTGAAAAGGTTAAGAAACCGCTCATTCCCCATTAGAGTATTCGCAAATATATGCAATATCTGTTGTCAATTTCACTCGTAAATGTTGTATTTTGAACTGAAAATCATTCATAACTGTCTTTTTGTCGTCTAATGCGATAAATAATTTACATACATGTACTGTAGAATACTTTACTTTCACTTGAAATAAATTTTCGCTATATTCGCTGAAGGAATGATTCAGTGAAAATATAATCCAACGAATATACCTTTTTTCCTATATTTTATATTAAACTTGTCAAAAATCAGTGAAAATAAATTCCATGCAAAACATCCAAAATGTCTTTTCAGCAAAAATTAATTGCAGCTAAAATAAAGTATTTTACAGTACATACCTGACCTTTTTTGAAGTACTAAACAATGGCAGAAATATTTGTTTTTTTAAAAAATAGCTGACAATTAGATGTGAAGAAGAAAGTACAGTTTATTTGGATGGAAACAAAGACTACAATGATTATATAAACTAGTATATTCCAGCATATATAGATTTAATGTAAACCATAGAAATTAAGCCAGAAGGAAAATGAGTGCCAGAAAAAGCAAAAAATCAACCAGCGGGAATGGTGATACAGCTCAGTCAAGATTTACCCTCCTTTCCTATATTCAGAATAAGGTAAAATCCCCCCCCCCTTATATCATGAAATCTACCTCATTTTGGAGTGGTGGAATAAATTACCCCCTTTTATTTCAAATCCTGACAACAGCATACCGTAACTAACATTGGTGAGAGTATAAGTACATGTACAGGCATTAGAACTTAAATGTAATTCCACCTCACTCAATAGGCAAATATAAAGAAACAATTCAGTGTCAATACTGAGTACAACTTGAACATAATGCCAGGGCTGAAAGATGGTTATTAGTAAGTTTGGAGTTTTAACTCACGGTTACAAAATACACTGACAGCTACTGGTAGATAATGAATTACATACCTTGTACATATCTAAAGCTGATTCTATAAAAGCCAACACATTACTGTAGTTATCATCATACTGTGAGGGATCACCTTCACTGTAAAGCAAAGAGCAATGGATCAGTGATTTTTTTATGTCAGTATTTGGCAGCAAAAAGTCACTGAGCAAGCTGGAGAAGTGGCTGAGTAAATTGGTGAAGTCAATGAGCAAGTTTGAAAAGTCACTGAGAAAGTGGTTGAAGTCACAAGCGAGTTTGAGAAGTCGCTGAAAAAGTTGGAGAAGTCACTCAGAGAAAATGGGGGAAGTCACTGAGCAAGTTGGAATAGTGACCGAGCAATTTTTGAAGTCACTGAGAAAGTTTGAGAAGTCACTGAGAAAGTTTGAGAAGTCACTGAGCAAGTTTGAGAAATCACTGAGAAAGTTTGAAAAGTCACTGAGCAAGAGGGTGAAGTCACTGAGAAAGAGGGTGAAGTCACTGAGAGCAAGTTGGAAAATTGACTGAGCAATTTCGGG